AATCTTTTTTTCTTTTTTGAAGAGGTTTTTCCTATAGGGCGTGTGCACTCACCAGAAAGACAGAGACAGACAGAGGGAAAATGAGAAATCGCCCCCTGGGGGGATGGCCCCATCGCAATCCATTCTCTTCTATTCTCCTCTTGGGATCTTGGGCATGCATGCACACGCACCCAACGTAAGTTTAAGCCACCAGGTCTAGGACTCAAATCACAGTCGACTATATATAGCCAACTGCTAGTTCCCGTTCTCATTTAATCTTTATAAAAATCCTATGAGTTAGGGGATCAGCAGTTGGTGTAATGGCTATGTCACTGGATTCCCATGTAGTCAACCACGGTCCAAGTCCCAGACCCGGTAGCTTAAACTCACGCTGGGCGCATGTGTGTGTGTGTCCAAGATCCCAAGAGGAGAATGGAGGAGAAGGGATTGTGGCATGGCATCCCCCCTGGGGGGGGTGATTTCTCACTTTCTGTCTCTCTGTGTCTCTCTTTTTCTGGCAAGTGCATGCACCCTATAGCAAAAACCTCTCAAAAAAAAAAAAATCTTATGAGTTGGTCACTAAAGTCATCCTCATTTTATAGGCAAGAAAATTCAGCAACAGAGAGATGAAGTAACTTGCCCATGTTATACAACCATTAAGTAGCAGGCAGTTCAAGACTCATACTGAGATGATCAAATATATAGATACCGAAGCTTATGTTTTCATTCACCATTACACGTATGATAACTTGACAACAAACATTGTGATTATAATAATTACCATTACTATAGATTTAATAGTTCTGATTTTAGTGCCAAGCAAAATTAAGACATGTATGATTAGTTCACATAAAAAAAAATCTTAATTAAGACCAGAGATCTAAATCTTAGAGGGAAAATTATAAAACTCTCAGAAGAAAACATAGGATAAAAGCTTCATGACATTAGGTTTAGCAATGATTTCTCAGGTATGACACCGGAAGCATAGGCAATAAAGGAAGAAATGAGATAAATTGGGCTTAATCAAAATTAAAATTTCTGTGCATCAAAACACTAGCAACAGAATAAAAAGAAAATCCATAGAATGGTAGAAAATATTTTTAAATAATACATCTGATAAGGGGTTGATATCTATTGGGTCGTCTCAAAAGTCATGACACATTTTTCTATGTTTTCCTAAGCAAAAATACATCATAACTTTCCTGAAGACCCAATAGAATATATGACAAATTACTCCTACAGTTCATCAAAAATAGTGATTAAATGTATTAAATAAACAAATAAAAATAAGTAAAACATGGACCAGCAGGTGAAGTGGTGCGTAAGGCATTGCAACCCATCTCAGCAACTACACAGTTTGAATCCTGTACCCAATGGCTTGAAAACCACACCAAGTATGCCCCAAAATCCTTCTCTTTCTTTCTCTGGAAAATGCACATTCTCATGGCAAAAGTCTTTTTTTTTTTTTAAAGGCAAAACTGAAACTGTATATTCATTAAACAACAAATTCTCACTCTTCCCCACCCCCCCAGATCCCAGTAAACACCCTTTTACTTTCTGTCTCTATGAATCTGACCACCCTAGGTACCTCATGTAACTGTAATCATACAGTATTTATCATTTTGTAACAAGCTTATTTCAATTAATTTAGCATAATGTCCTTAAGGTTCGTCCATTTTGCAGTATGTGTCCGAATTTCCTTTCTTAGTAAGGCTGGATAATATTTCATTATATGTATATATAAAATGTTGTTTATCCATTCATCTGTCATAGGACATATAGCTTGCTTCCACCTTTGACTATTGCAAAGAATGCTACTATGAACATGACATATAAATTATTGCTTTGAATCCCAGCTTTAAATTCTTCTGGGTAGATACCCAGAAGTGGAATTGCCAAATAACATGGCAATTCTATTTTTTTTTTAATCTTTGATCTGGTTTTAGCATTTCTCTAAGTTAGAAACCTCCATCCCTGGAACCAGTGGATATAGGCTAAAGATAAAACATCAAGAGGCCATTATTTCTTTTTAATAATTATTTATTTAATTTTTATTTTTTCATTCATTTATTTTAATTTGACCAGAGAGAGACACAAATAGAGAGAGAGGTAAAGTGAGAAAGCAAGCCACCAGGTCCGGGACTCGAACCTGGTTAGCTATGTGGGAGTGTCCAGTGCCTTAACCACCATGCAACCTGCTGGTCCCAAGAGGCCATTATTGTTAATATTGACCTGAGATGCAATGCTTTCAACCTACTAGAGGTTCACATAGATCCAAGTGAAAGCAGCTCCGTGTCACAATCACAGACTATTGCAGACTGAGTTCCATTTCTAGGAGACATGACTACATATTAAACAAATTCTTTCCTATCAAAGATAAAGGGCTCCATCCTTGAGCCAGATTTTCCTACTATAGAACTAGCCATTTTACGTAGTTTAATAAGGACTAGTTGACTGTTAATTAACAAGATTGGTTAAGGCAGGAAGTCATATAAATATATATATGTATCTTTATTTCATTCATATATATAAATGTGTATCATTTGCCAATTTTTTATGTAGGGTCAATGCCTTTTATTTGAATCCAAATTCATTATTTAGAGTTTCCTTCTTGCAAAAACTATACTCACAATTCATCAACCAGAATTTCCAGTATCAGTTACAGTTACTTTAAATTAGAATAAGAACTTAAACACACTCGTTAAACAATCTGAGTGCAAATTGTTAGAATGTTTTGGTTGTTTTGCAATAGGACAAATTTTTAAAAATATTTTTAATTTTTTGAGGAGGTGCTATATTGTTTTCTACAGCAGCTACACTATTTTATATTACCAGCAACAGTGTACCAGGATTCCAATTTGTCCAATCTTTGCCAGCAGTTATGTTCCGGGATTTTTTTTTTTTTTTTGATAGCAATCTCAACAGGTGTAAGGTAGTATCTCAGTATGGCTTTGATTTGTATTTCCCTAATGAATAGTGATGATGAGTATTTTTTGCATGTGCTTATTAGTCATTTGTATATTCTCTTTGGAAAAATTTCTATTAAAATCCTTAGCCCATTTTTTTTTTTGAAGAGGTTTTTGCTATAGGGCACGTGCGCTCGCCAGACAGAGAGAGACAGAGAGACAGAAATGAGATATCACGCCCCCCCCCCCCAGGGGGAATGGCCATGTCACAGTCCTTTCTCTTCCATTCTCTTCTTGGGATCTTGAACATGCACACACACGCACCTGGCATGAGTTTAAGCCACCAGGTCCAGGACTCAAACCACAGTCAATTACATGGGAGTCCAGCAACATAGCCATTATGCTAATTGCTGTTCCCCTTAGCCCATTTTTTAATGAAATGTTTTTGATTTTGTTGTTGTTGCTGTTGCATGTTTGCTGCTGGGAGAGAGACAGAAAAAAGAGTAAAGTGAAAAAGTACCTCCTACAGAGAATGGTCATGCTACATCCCTTCTCCTTCATTCTCCCTCCTTTCAGTATTTTGGGCACGCACACGCACCCAGCATATTTTCCCAAGCTGCAGGGTCCAAGACTCCAATTGTGTAGTCAGTCATATGAGACCCAGCCACCTTAACCACCACAACATGGGCTTGATATTAACCCAACAGTGCTAGTACCTATAAGACATATTAATGATTCACCATATTTATAAATTAACTTACTAGATTTCTAGGAGTTAAGTAATTAGAAATGCCTATTTCCTAGATAATTGAAGTACTTATAAAGAAAAGAAAATACATTTAACTTACATAAGAAAGTATTAACAAAGTTTGTAAATAAGTTCAAATATCAATCAAGGGCCCCTTAAAAGTCATTGTTAAGATGTAGTTCATTGGTGGCATGGAGGTTAAGGTGCCGGATCTCACATAGCCAACTCCATGAGGTTTAAGGCCAGATCAGTGACTTGAAAATCATGCTGGGCGTGTGTGTATATAAGCCCCAAATCCTGAATGGAGAGGAGATTGCAGCATGGCCATCCCCACTGGGGAATGATTTCTCACTTTCCCTCTCTCTGTATCTCTCTGTGTCTCTCTCTGGAGAGCACATGTGCTCTACAGCAAAAAACTAAAAAGGGGGAAAAAAAGAATTATACTTCATTATAAATAGAAAAATAAGATTCATACAAGTAAAAACTTAAGAACTAAATTTAAGTTATACATTTAAAAATCAGAAATTAATTTTTTAAATCAAAGTAGATCATGTCTTTTCTGTGCTCCAACTCTGAGAAGACACAGAGAGGTTAGATATCTTGCCCAAGGGTTGAGAGAGCTCAAATCTAGAACTAAAAGACACTCTTAATCACAATTCTATAAACCACAATGCTATAATGCTTCAAAGACAGTCCAGGTTTGTGCTATAAATCATTATGGAAACACTGCAGAGAACAAAACAAAAAAGATCCAAGGTGATGTTACCAACTTGTCTGACTTTCTCATAGTACAATTTCATTCATGGGATATTTATGGCATCTCTATTACCTGCCCTGTGCTAGAACGCTGAAATGAAAGGACCTGGCTCTCTAAGAATTTCACAGTTCTCAATGTTATTGTTTCCTAGGAAACTTGACATTCAGGAGCAAGACATAGGCTCATTGCTGGACAGCAGCTTAAACAGTGAATGGTTCATGAGTCAGCGTGCTTCTGTTTAAAATCTGTTCCTGATCAACCCTGGAAGGTCAGCTGTTCTACCTCTGCGTTGGAAGTTTAGTGAGCCAGGGTGCAGCCTGTCCACCTGGGGAGTCAACCAAACTTTGAAGCAATACCTTCCCAGGCTACTTAGTCTGCCACCAATTTAAGGAAATCCCAAACATGAAGAGTCCCAACTTACAAAACAGATATATTAGGCATCAGAGGATTTGCTTTGTCTCAACAGATTCCCCAAAGAGTTGTTTTCAGCAATGAGTATCCCTTGGGCTTTTGAATTGTGAGTCTTTCTACACCTGAAATTCAGTGCCTATGTAACAGGAAGAGATCTATTATGTAGAAGGAGATATATCTATAATACCTTTGTACTCACCATCTAGGATAAAACTGTGAACCTTGGCAAATGGCCCCAGTTCCTGGATCAAGCCTTGGAAGCAGTCTTTACAGAGTAAGTGCTGGCAGGGTAGAAGCCAGGAGCCCACACCTTGCAGATCCTGTCTGCACAATGAACAGGTCAATACCATGGCCTCCATCTCTCCACTCCTGGGGCGGTATTTCTGGTCAGCCAGGGGCAGTCCCATCAAATTCATGCCCATGTCCATGCCCATGTCTGTGCCCAAGACCAGGGCTTTCCCACTGATATCCTCCGATGTGAAGCAGCGTGTAGAGCGAGCAAGCTCCACTCCCTGTAAGAAAAGCACAAAGCGGAGTGATTTATTTCTTTGGGGCGTAGGAAGTTCCTGGACAGGGAGAAGACTTACAAAAACAAGGTCTCAAAATTCCAGGCCTTGTCCCTCCCCAAAGCAGAGGCTTATGCCTTGGCCTCAGCTTAGGCCCAAAGAGGGAAAACAAAGCCTGGATGTGTCTGCCAGGTTGATTTTCCTTACAGAGTTGGTTTGCCTTCATAAGTGTCCCAGATTGACTTGTGCCTCTCCTTATTGGTAGATAAGCTTGAGCCTTTTGGAAAAGGGAACTTTATTCAGTGCCAAGTTTATGCCAGGTATTCCATATACTTTATTTCAATCTTTGCAAACTCCTTTGAATAGAGATGTTATGCATTACAGATGAAATAAAACCATGAGGGACAGACTGAAGAAACCAAGACTCAAAGAGATTGGATATCGCACACAGACGGTAAACAGCAGAATTCAATTTCAAGTCTAGGTCAGTCTGATTATAAACTCTACACTCTTTAGCCAGTGAAATGTGTCTTAAACTGAGAGCCACACATTTATTTCCTGAGTTTTCTCCAGTAATCTCTTAAAATTAGTGTTTCAGGAGCCAAACAGCAGTGCAGCAGTACAATGAAACACTCTTTGAGGCAATACCACATGGCACGGTTTCTGGTTCAAGTCCAGAGATCACCCTGAGCGTGGTGGACACGCACGTGCCCATGTCTGAGCCTGGTTAAAAGTGGGGGTAGATTGTGGTGGTAGGACACTGTTGGGGGTGCTGTCTCTATGACTCTCTCTCACTCATGGAAAAAATAAATTTAAAAACTGATGTTTCATTCTGAAAATAGAGGGGTTTTTTTTAACTATAAATAGTCTGGATCATCTATATATCCATCAGAACAAGATTTTAGGGGAAGTGGGCCAGCTATTTTTGAAGAACACCTCAAGCAGCTTACAAGAATAGCCTAGCATATTTTTCATGCCACTGGGGTCAGGATTTGAAAACAGTTACCATGTGGGATCTGGCTCTCTCTCTCTTTTTTTTCTTTTAAAAGAATTATTTTTTTATCTTTATTATTATTATTTTCCAATTTAATCACAGAGAGACAGAGAGAGAGAGAAGGAACGTGAGAAAGCAAGCCACCAAGTCTGGGACCTGAACCACAGTCACCCTCTACCCCCCACGCCACCTGCCAGCCCCGGGATCTGGCTTTCTTAACCACTAGGCTATGGGCTGACCTGTACACTTTTTTTTAATTATTCAAGAGCCCAAAGGTAGTTTTATTATGTGAGTTAAATCTATTGCTATTTACATTAGAAATTTTAACTAAAAAAGTAATATTAGTTCATGTTTCAAAAAGTAGTATCTGGGAGCCAGATGGTGGCATGGTGGTTGGGGCGCTTGACTCCCACTTGGCCAACGATGGTTTATAAATCAAGTTAAATAAAATAATTCTTTTTTTAAAAAAAAAAGATTTATTTATTTAATTCTATTTGGTTTTTGTTGTTTTTTTTTTTTGAGAGGTTTTCGCTATAAGGGCGTGTGCACTTGCCAGACAGAGAGAGACAGAGAGACAGCAAGAAATCACCCCACAGGGGGGATGGCCACACCACAATCCCTTCTCCTCCATTCTCCTTTTGGGATCTTGGGCACACACGCACACGTACCCGGCGTGAGTTTTAAGCCACCAGGTTCGGGACACGAACCACGGTTGACTACGTGGGAGTCCAGCAACATAGCCATTACGCTAACTGCTTGTCCCTGTTGTTATTATTTTTTTAATTTGACCAGAGACAGAGAAAGAAAGAAAAAGCAAGAAAGCAAGTCCCCAGGTCCAGGACTTGAACCATGGTCAGTCATTTGGGAATCCAGCGCCTTTAACTACCATGCCACCTACTGGCCCCAATGAAATGATTATTTTTTAAAAAATGAATAACGTAGTTTTCAGGAAGAACTCTAGGGTAGCTAGGACAACGGGAGTGCGACATTATACCTGGCTGTTTTTCAGGTTTGCAAACCTTCTTAATGTCCAGTGTAATACCAGACAGCTGGATTCTCATATGGGCTTCTGCTGCTGATCTACTATATATTGTTTTATATACAGCATATGCAGAAAATCCAGCCTTTAACAGACATACAGTTGGCAATAATAGATACCAAAAGCTTACTTGTGATGGGAAGAGGTTCATGGAAAAAAACGTAAATAGAGACAGGAATTCATGTAAATAAAGAGTCTATGGGACAATATACCACAGCAAAGTAAAAAAGATGGATCATTTAATACATTTTTAAAAACCTAAATCTATTGGGACCAGCAGTTAGTGTAATGGCTATGTCGCTGGACTCCCATGTAGTCGACCGTGGTTCGAGTCCTGGACCTGGTGACTTAAACTCATGCCGTGCACATATGCATGCGTACCCAAGATCCCTAGAGGAGAAAGGAGGAGAAGAGATTGTGACATGGCCATCCCCCACTGGGGGGTGATTTCTCACTTTCTGTCTCTCTGGCGAATGCATCCGCCCTATAACAAAAATATCTTCCCCCGCCCTATAACAAAAATATCTTAAAAAAAAAAAAAAAAAAGGAAGAAAGTTCTTTTTTAAGTTAAGTATTAAGAAATTCTTTAAGTATTAGGAAGCTGTCAAACTCATGGAGACAGCAAAACTTAACCAGAATTCTCAGTTTTGCTTAAAAGCTTGAATTTTATCATTGGCAACAAATACTGTCATTTTATTATTTTTTTTAAATTATTTTATTTTTTAGGTTTTTGCCATAGGGCACATGTGCTTGTCAGAGACAGAGAAAGTGAGAATTCAACCTCCCTGATGGGGATGCTCACACCACAATCCCTTCTGTTCCATTCTCCTTTTGGGATTTTGGGCAAGCACACACATGAGCTCGGTATGATTTTCAAGCTGCCAGGTCCAGGACTCAAACTGAGGTTAGCCATGTGAGAGTCCAGCACTTTAACCACCATGCCACTTCTGGCCCCTACCACTTTATTTTTAGAAAATTTCTGCTAAATTCTCAAGCCTGAATAACCACTGTTTGTTCAATGTTCAAGCAAAATTGGTGTTTCATGAAAACAAGCAAAAAAGGCAGCTACTTTGGCTTGCAATTCAAGCAACAGCACAAATGCAGTTTCTCATTTAGCAGAGGTACTTTTTGCATACATCTAATTTCTTCACATAGAATTTTTTAAAGAGATTTTTGCTATGGGGCTCATGCACTTGCTAGAGAGACAGAGAGACAGAAAGCAAGAAATCATCCCCCGGTGTGATGGCCACACCACAATTCCTTCTTCTCCATTCTCCTCTTGGGATTTTGGGCATGTACGCATGCCTGGCATGAGTTTTAAGCCACCAGGTCAAGGACTTGAACTGCAGTCAACTACACAGAAGTCCAGCAACGTAACCATGACATCATCTGCTGGTCTCCTTCACAAAGGATATTAAAAAGATGCATATTCAAGAATTGAGATTTGAGTCAGTCTGTGATCTGGAGGTTAAGGAAGCTGGATCTCATATAGCTTACCACATGGTTTGAGTTACAGACCTAGAGACTTAAGAAACATGCTAGGAACATGTGAGTATATGCCCAAAGTCCCAAAAGGAGGGAAAGATGGAAGAGATGGGACTGTGACATGGTTATGCCCCATAGAGGATGCTTTCTCCCTATCCCTCCATTTGTCTCTTTCTCTCGCTGACAAATGCATGCACCCTCTGGAAAAAAATTTAAAGAAAAAAAAAAAAGAATTGGGGAACCAGCAGTTAGCGTAATGGCTATGTCGCTAGACTCCCACGTGGTCAACCGCGGTTCGCGTCCCGGACCCGGGGGGCTAGAACTC